ATCACACTCAATCACGTTAGTTCACACTTCACAGTTCACACAATATGATGAGTAATTATTTATTACAAATTAAGATTTTTTTTGCTTTTTTTTTTGCATGTGATCAATTGATTTGTTTGGTACAGTCCATCACACTCAATCACATTAGTTCACACTTCACAGTTCACACAATATGATGAGTAATTGTTTTTTCTGAACACGTACATTCGCACGCCTATTATAGTGTTCTTCATAAAATCTTAATTTACGTGTAAGATATAATAGCAGTTTTAAACATCCATCTACATATTTACCCCCAAAAAAAAAAAAATCCATATATATAATTATGGCTAATACTTTTAATTTATTTACTAACCAAATATAAAATTTTATTATATAAAGTACAAGAAATATTCTAATTTTTTAAGACTTTGACATAAATTTTTAGCATTTATTTCACAAATTCAAGATGATGTGGTGATACATATTTAGGGCTTGTTTAGTAACGATGCTATTGTTTGTCCTTTGTTTTTGTTAATTACCAGATATTGTAAATTAATTACTAAATTAAAATTTTGATTATGATTTTAAAACTTTATAGTAATTTTAATTTTTAATCATCAATTTTGATCATTCAAATTTTAAGAAAAATAAAAAAACCAACAATAATATATTTATGAAAAAAAATCTATTTGCAATTCTGTATATTTATGAACTTACTAAATTTAATATTCAACTCATTAGATTTGTAAAATATGTAAGACTTAATATTATTAACTTGTGCCTCATGTTAAAAATGTAATTATTACACTATTTTGACATTAATTAATATTAAAAAATATAATTTTTTTTAATTTGATCACTAATGTCACGTATGTGATTTCAATTAAATAATTATTTAAATAAAAATTAATTTTTATTTTTTATACTAATTAATATAAAATAAGTACAATAATTACACTCTCTCTTACAGCAAAAGTTAAAAAAATCCATTTCTAATTGACACCAATAATTAACATAAAAAATATCGGTTTCGATGAACTAATTAACTGTTTTTTTTAATGTTAATGAATTAATGATTTTTGTGAAAACCCAGCTCTTATATATATATATGTGTGTGTATATATATATATATATATATATTTTGAACATATTTTGCAAGGGTGGGTTTCGAACCCTGCCCAGGGGAAGGGGAATGCATCGGTGGCTAATGCCACTAGGTCTCAAGGGTCAGGTTATATATATATATATTAATTTCCTACTTGCGTTTAATTTTTAACATTAATAGAGAAGTCCTAGGTAAAGCAAGTAGTTGCTCCGAACATAGGATTTCTCACCAGATTGACTTCAAATCTTTCCTTTCCCTAAAAAGCCCAACATGTAATCATGGAGTAAATATTTAAGAACATTAATTTTTTTAAATATACCATATTAATGTAAAAAATATACTTTTAAAATTATTAAAAAAAATAATGCTCAAGATATGTAAAAATTAATCCTATAACGTACGCCTTAAAACAAGAAGTAACACCAAGTAAACGTGGACCATTGTGGTAACTACTATCTGGCATGCGAAAATAAGATAAAATAAACAAGTCACTAACACCAAGTAAATGTCGACCATTGTGGTATCTACCACCTGGCATGCAAAAATAAGATAAAATAAATAAGTCACTAACACTAGCTTGATAAATGTGATGTAGACATGATAAAAAAACGCTAGACACCACAATCACAATGGTCCACATCTAGTTGGCGATATTTATGCATATTAGGTACAAATTAAGGTTTTTTTTTCTTTTTTTTTCTTCTTGCATGTGATCAATTGACTTGTTTGGTACAGTTAATCACACTCAATCACATTAGTTCACACTTCACAGTTCACACCATATGATGAATAATTATTTTTTCTGAACATGTACATTCACACGCCTATCATAGAGTTCTTCAAAATCTTAATTTAGGTATAAGATATAATAGCAGTTTTAAACATCCATCTACACATATATAATTATTGCTAAGACTATTTTTATCAATTAAATATAAAATTTTATTATATAAAGTACAAAAAAGACTCTAATTTATACAACATAAAAAGATAAAAACTCACATATAAAAAATATATATATACAACTAAACCTTAGTAAATAATTAATCAACCACCTAAGCCATACACAGCTTCCAAATGCATCACAGGTTCGATGATAGTTAATACTAACTTCTTGGTCGATGAATAATATATATATATATATATCTTATTTAGAGGCTTGATAATTGAAAATGGGGAAGGTCTTTAGCTGGGATGTCCATTCTTGAGATCAATATCAATAATTAACCATCATCTCTAGTACTATCAAAAATCAAAAGGAAGAAAAAGCAAATTAACCCGTACTGAGCTCCCCACTAATAAAAGGGAGATGACTTGATGTTAATGCATATATACTAGAAAATTCTAACATTTATTTTTTTAGTGTTTTATTTTACTGTTTGAATTATATTAAATTATAAAATATAAATTATTAAATAATAAGTAAAGCCCCAATATTAGAGAGTCCATTTCATTTAATAGTTACGATTTTATGATACAATTCAAACTACGTACACAACATTTATTTGTATATTTTTTATCAGCCAATATGATTCTTTTTTAGTTCTTTGTCCAGGCACTTGTTTTTGTGCTAGATCGATCTCCAGTATGCTTCTTCTTTACTTATGAAATAGTTGATATAGACAGTATAATAATGCGCATGTGATGCTAGTAATTAGTTGAACCCCACGTCTAATTATTATTCATGACCATCGTTGAGCCTGTTCACACGAGCTATATTGGATAACCAATTAAGCTTTTTTAAGAGTTGGTTATTATTATTATTATTATTTTAGTACATAGAGTTGGTTGTTAAACTAATAGCAATTAAGAATATATATTAATACTTTATAAAATTAAGACTGAGATGTTATGTATATATATATATATCTTTTAATAGGATAATTTGAGAGAAAAAAAGAAAAGAAAAGAGATTTGTTAAGTTTGAAGATGCAATTCATAAGAAGTAGTACCCACTTAAACACAGATTTTGGCCTCTAGATCGCAGGGATTGATGTGTTATATCTTTTAAAATATAATACATTATCTTTATAAACAATTTATTCATAATTATGGATGGAGTATTTAAGTATCCAAGTCAAACGCTCCTTACAACAGAGGACGCCTAGGACTAGCTAGCTAGTTAGGGTGATGAGGATCTTATTCATAAATAA